TTCAGCCAACTAAAAGTAAGGAAAGTTGGAAAAGTAAGTATTTTGAGGAACAAAAGCACTGCAGACAAAGATGGGTCTCAAAATGCTCAGGAGAGACTTGATGGGAAATGTGCTCAGACCACAAAGCACTCTTCCTGGTCTGATCATATGCAAACCACTTCACATGCTGGGATTCAACCTGAAAAGCAGAGAACATATGTTTATTGAGTATCTTTTTTTTTTTTTTTTTTTTTTTTTTAAGTGGGGGTTGGTGGTACTCTTGCAAAGCATTAATTTTATTTCTCCCTGAGAATTTTAAGCCAAATCGTTTTGCGAGTTTTATTAAATAACTTTGAGGCTGCAAAATTTGTTCCACTCTTTCCCTCTTGCCCATTGCACTACTAAAGGAGAAAAAAAAAAAGAATAAGAAAAAAGACATTATTTTAAAAAGTCTTCAAAATACCATACAGCAAGAAAAAAATATACTTGTTTTTAGGCATAATACTAATAATTAGAGGTATTTTCTTTTTTTTTTTTGGGGGGGGGGAATGTTAGGAAAAAAATCACTATGAATTAAAAAACATACTGGAGGATTTATTTTCCCTTTCTCAGAAACCTTAGAGGAATACCAAGCTAAGGAAAGAGCAACAGGAATGAGGCATCCACTAACCAAGCTGTTATTTCAGTGCCCAGTGCTAGAAGGAGAAGTGGGGATTGCTCTTTAGCATAAGGCAGTTCTTCAGAAGGTGAAGTAAATGGTCTGCTATTCATTTTCCACATTTGAAGCACAGCTGCATCTTGCTGGCTGATGGAGCAAGTCATAAACTTGTAATTCTTTGTCTAGATATAACTCAGGCTGTTCTAAAATCAATATAAACAGGGTTTCCTCCATAACAGGAGCAAAACAGTGGGAATAAGATCAACCCAGCAAGATTCATCAATGCAAGTCATTTTCTTTAAATCACATCTCCCTGACATTGGCTTATGTGGTCTATACTTACATGAAATAAGTATAGACCAAGGCAGACTGAACTTTCATTATCTTGTACAACACAATTCATCTTCCAGAAATCTCTGACCCTTCAGTTACCTGGATCACATGCCCCAGAAATGCCAAAGAGCTTCACAAGCAGCTACTCAGTACTAGTTTTCTGCCTCCTCTGCTATATCAGGGAAAATACAGATTGCTCTTTCATCTTATACAACTGGAAAGATATACAGAAACTTGTTCTTCACTTGCCATATAATATTTCAGAAAAACAGTCTTTAACAAATGGCATTCTCTCGGTGTAGTGGTGTTTATTGCCTTCACCATCCTTTTAAAGGAAATTAAAGCAGTCAAGCACACGAGAATTCCTCTCAGAGATCCTGCAAAAGCACATCGCTCTTTCTGAAACCCACTGTTTCAGATTTTTACGCTGTTAAAAATCAACCTGCTGCAAGCCACAGCCTTCTGCAGCTACCGATGGAATTAGTCCTTTGTACCTTGGTGGCTGCACATGCTGTAACTGCACAGCCCCCCTCTGAGTGACTGACGTTTTCCTTGGTCATTCATCACTGACCAAGAATGACAAGGGAATCAGAGATGGCTACACAGGAACTGATTCCTGCCCCTGCAGTTCTGTGGCAGCCCCAAGATCCCACATCACTCACCTGGGCAAGCTAGCATTGAGCTAGGACTAACCCAAATGGGCACACTGCTCTGTAAAATGGGCAGCTGTCACAGCAGGTGTCTCCAGCACTCAAGCCCTGTTAATTGCTGCTGGAATAAGAGTTCTACTTTAAGGGCTGGCCTAAGTGCTTCTTGTCACCATCAGAAGATGGATCTGTTCAGCCCTCTATTTCCTGCTACTTTGGTTGTGGTCTCTTCCCTCAATGGCTAAGTTCAGTTTTCCAAACAAACACACATGAATCAAAGATACAAAAATATTTTTTTTAAAAGGGTTAAAACTATATTAGCTGTCACACAAGCCATGGGAGGGACATGCCTCCTACAAAAAAATTGGAACATCAGCACTTTAGCACCAGCTTAAAGAATTTTTAAGTTTGCCCAGTACCAGCACTTCTGTTAACTGAATGCCAAGTTTCATTTCAGTGTTTAATCATCAAGACATGTATTTATTTATCCCTTCCATCACGATTATACCTGAACCACTGAGATCCACACCCACAGTTACTAGACCGCAGTATAATCAAATTAGCGATCAGTACCATCACACTAGCGATGCAGGCTGAAGCTTACTTTCAGCTGACTAAAATGAGCTTGGAATTTAGGTGATCCTTTTAATGTAAAGTTTCTATTAGGTTTTTGAGAATTAAAGGATTCCAAAAGCAAGTGACATAAATTAATAATTCAATTTATAAAGTAAAGCCAAAAAAACCCACATCTCAGTTACCTATCTCTGTTTAAAAAAGTATGGCACGCAATACTCCATAAAACCCATACTCTTTTGTTATTCACACAGGCTTTCATTTCCTATTTTACTCAAGAAATTTGTTTTCAGAATAACTACAAAGACAAATAAACAATATAATGAATCCCTTCTGGAGATTCAACCAGATACTTATGTTGAGCACTGTACTTTTATACTGCTGAGAAAACTGTCAAGCATTTGAAGCAAACAACATTTTTCAGAGGAGAGAGGAAAGAAAGAAGTCAAATGCATTAACTCCCTAGAGAAAGAAAGAAAATCTGAAGAAATTCCAAGGTCCATAAGGACTGTGAAGAAGCTGTAGAGAGAACACGATCAAATGATCAAAGACTCAAATTCAAGTTGTAGCATCTGTTTATCCTTTAGAAATAAATTCTACCTCTTGAAGTTAAATTTTCCATCTGGTTAAAAAAAAAAAAAGCCCCCCTACAAATAAGGTTTCCAAATCTTATAAAGGTCTGGTGGGGAGCAATTAATGTAAGACTGAAAGGCACAGAACACAGCAGAAGTGAGAGTTGTAGAAGTGTACATGAAGCCATGGAAAACACAGTCTAGAAGCTGACTTGTGGGAGAATCAACTAACAAGCAGTGAAAGTATTTCCAGAACATGGCAAGCAAACCTAAACCAGATAATTCCTGGCAAGCTCTATACTTAGGAGCACAGTAAACCTTGCTTTTCTATACTGGAAAGTAAAGCAGAGAAGTTTTCAGTAGAAGTGATTGAATGTGAATCTGTTCCATCTGTAAATCCTGCAGTTCATCAGCCGCAATATTCTAAACCTGGCAGGTACTAATGCTTGAGTTTCTATAAATGCACAGAACTGTAGGTTTTAGTATGAGTTATATGCATTCAAGGATGAAAGCTGAGCTCTCCAAAGCTGTTTAAATTAGCATGTCACTCTCAAGTCGGGAGACAGACATACACACATACCCATTATTGCCATCATAGTAACAATGTTCTGAAACCAAAGTATTTCTGTAAAACTGCTTCCATAGGTTAACACAAAATATCAGCTGTCTTAAGGACCACCTTTAAGTGGTACTTCAATAATAACAACAATAGCAGCGGATGGTCATGGTTTATGAGATTCATTCACCCTTTCTCCCTTTTCTTTTTGAAGACTTGTAGGAACTAGTAACAATGATACACCCCAAATAAGAAAAGCTAAACACCTAATGAATACTCCAAATTTGTGCATCTGTAAACAACAAAAGAACCATGTAAAATTGAAAAGATATTCCATTTCATAGTTCAAGACAACACAACACCACAAAAAAGGAAATATAGCCCATGCTTTTCTGGTCTGGACAAATGGCTACTTCAGAGGCCATTCAGGCAATCAAACAACTGATAAAATAACAGTACCATCTTCCCCAAAATCATTTTGAGTTCTTTCTTTCGATGCTTCACAGGAAAAGAATGTGCAGCATTCATTCACAAGCCTAATACCCTAAGCTTTCTGGGACAAAGGCAACTAATATTTTGCACATTCATTTGATGTGGAAATGGACTTTCTGAGCTTGTACAATAATATATAGCAAGTTAACCCAATCTCATGACCTCTAGCCAAGTTAAATACACTTCTCCCTCTAAAGAGCTGCATAGCTGATGCAAAAGCAGATGTTTGCTGTGCCCTCAATTGAAGTTCTAGAGGTATTTTGTCTTCTACTCTTTTTATAAAATCAGGAAACTTTCCCTAACATTATGATTGCATATTTACCATAAGGTGGTATCTTCTGCTTCTTGTAGGAATCACAATATGTCCCTGTTTGTTTTGTGTCTTTTAAAAAAAGAAGTTTTGGCCACAGGACTAAGAGACAGTTATCCTGTAAGTTAGGAATAAATTAGAAGGCTAATTTATTTGGAAAAAAAAAACTGGCAAAAAAGAATTCAATTTGCTTACCCTCTTATAAGTTTTCTGACCCTAAATGGCTAAAAAATTTAGTGTATGGTCTCTGACCAGCATGTTTGTGAAATAGCATACAGGAAGTCTTAAATTTCCCATGTAAATGATTCCATGCGTTACTTTTCTCCTCCTCTGCAGACAATACGATTTTCAGCCAAAATATCTTCAGCTAAATCTCTTAGGTGAAGCCTTAAGAGAGATTTCTGCATCAGAGTTATTTTAATGCAACCTAAGCTTTACTGTGTGTGAGGAGAAGCAGCTTCTAAAAATAATCAGGTTGCAAAAAATATTTCTTAGCTTGTTCTTTCCCTAACAGAGGGGATTCTGAAGTGGTTTGTGAGTATAATGCAACAACAGCCTTTGAGTAAAGAAAGGTAATGCTGTATAGGTTTGAGTGCAGGAGCCACCACTGTTTGATATAGGGATGATGAAGCTTCATGATGTGACAAGTTGATTCAAGTTATCTATACAATGATCTAAATCTTTAATCTTTGCTTTCTAATTTAATGTATAAATGGTAATATGTTGATCAAAAATGGAATTAGAGGTATAATCCTGTACACTTGGTAGGCTTTTTAATGAATCCATGGTGAGATCAACAGGCAAGAGGGTGCTTATCAAGCACTACCTGAACAGAGCATGGAGTCATACTACAGATATTAGATTTGCTGTCATTACTTACCAAGCCAGCTATTGGAGTTGACAGACGATTTATCTTCCTAACAATGCCAGGTTTGATCTTGTTAATCAAACTACAAAGAAATCATATGAATTTACATTACATAATTTTATTTAAGTCTGAATATCATGGCTTACTGAGAAAAACTTTGCATACATTACTCACTCCTATGACTTGAATCAAATAAATAAATCTATTAAACACATGCCCCTATTTTTTTTTAATTTTTATTTTTTAAAGTCAGTTTACCGAAAAGCAAGAACCAGCAATAGAAGATTATAGAAGCAAAAACAGGACAAGCCATAAAAATAAGATGTTTGATAAAGGCAGAGTAAGAAAGAAAGAAAGACAAAAAAACAGAAGCAGCTGGGTGGGTACAAGGAGAAATGAATTTATGTTTGACTGATTGGACTGGATGATCTTAGAGTCTTTTCCAAATGTGGTGATTCTACAATTGGTGATTCTATGTTTCTGCTAAATTGGTGGTGATGTTAACTAGACTGAAATTTCACATTTAAAGATTTTTCATATCTTCTTCGTCAAATTTTATCAGAAGAATACATATCAAAACATTAATTTTCAGTGTTCCTTGTAAGAGGACTGACATTCCTGTAGGAAACCAGCTCAGATTTCATATGCTACCAGCCCTAGCATGATGTCTGCAACAATATTTTTTGTAAATATTTTACATATGCAAGTTATTGGGTTTTTGTTTGTTTGTTTGTTTTTGCTTTTGTTTTTGTTTTTTTCCAGTTGGACAGAAAGGACTGAGCCTCACAGTATCACTCGTACCTTATATAGAATTTGCAGTAAAACTGAAAAAACAGAACAGATGCACATCTCGTCATGTATTGAGGGCAAAGTATTCCTTCCACCTTCATTCTCAGGTTCTCAGTCATGCTGGTAGGGAAATCCCGTGATTCACTGAAATACACACTAGACCACTGGACCAACAAAGAGCTGGAACCTCACAACACCCTGTAGATGTTATCCACCTACATCTGAGGAATTTGGACTTGCTACCTCTTCTTGTTGCTGCTTGTTTGGCCAGACCCCTTAACCACACAAAACATCAATTGGGTTTTATGATCCACCCACACCAAAGCAGAGTCAGCTCCAGAAGTTTAAAATTATACAGGGGAAGAGGCTTTTTTTTTTTCTCCTTTGCAGCAAATATATTTGGAAAATAACAAAAAGAGTTTATGCATACATAATGAGATGGAAGAGATTTCTAAGCACCTGCAGAATAAGAAACAAAAGTAACAGATCCTGAGATTTTTCAACTGCATCGTTATTTACCAAACAAAATACATTTGGTGACTTTTCCATCAAGAGAAAAGAAATAAAGAAATAAAGAAAAGCTACTGTTTTCTTATATGTTCCAAACACATCACTTATTTGCTTTATGTGTTTCAGAACACAAAGTAGTGTGTAATAGAAAACTTTCTTCCTCTAAACAGGAGATCCAGTATAATGTAAAAGGATTTATTTTGTCAACTGATCAGTCAGTTGACACACATATTGGTCAGTAAGTCAAACAAGCCAACTGGGCTGCCACTAGAATAAGTGGTGAAAGAATAGATCTGAACTGCTGCAGTATAAGCCAAATATATTGCCTCCAGTGATAATGTATCTGCGTAAATTAAACAAGTCATGTCAGGGGAAACCAAGGCAACATATAATGCTGTGGCTAGTTTATCTCCATTATTTAAGATCTTTTCTTTTGTTTACTTTGCTGAAAACTGGACATATTTTATTCTTTTCCATTTCCAGTGAACTCTTCATTTACCTTTGTAATTCAAGGTATGTCAAATTTAAAAGTTATGATACAGGAGAACAGCTGTATGATTTAGTGCAGTATAATTAGATGTCTTTTCCTTTAAAGATTGCTGCATGACTCCTGAACAAAACTGCTCAGATGAAGAAATTACTGGATGTTTTTCTTACATGTAACTGTTAATTACAGATAAATTTAACTGATCTGCATTTGGCAGATGGATGCTCATGTTCTTTTGCCAAATAGGTGTCAACAATGAAGATATCAAAGAGTTAGAGTATATCAGTTCATTGCCATTTCTTAAAGGCTTGATTTAAAAGTTGCAGCTGAGTACAATACACACATCCCTCTAAGTAGATACATCAAGCAAAGAAGTAGCTTCTTGTTAAAGCAATAGCTATTTTATTACCACAGTCAGTATAGTTCACATTTGATTACATAAGCAACAACAAAAAAAACTTCCATCCCTACAAAACCATTTAGTCTTAGAAAAACAAAAACAACTCCCTCACACCAAAAAGACAATTACAGAAGCAACTAGCAAGATAGTCTGAAAGGTGAAGTGCCCAAAGGAAAAAAATTAAGGAGAGAATAAACAGGAAATTAGACAACATTCACAGAAGTAAAGATGTGGGAATATTGCCTGTTTTGCATTTACTTTGGTTATTGTGATATACACTGAAACAAATACATAAAAAACAGAGAATTAGACTTTCATAAATATTTTCTGAAATGGCTAAACTGATAATGGATACCTCTAAGATACAAGGCATTTCTAAATGTCCAACTTAGTCTCTGAATGGGACACTTACACCTATATTTCCTTAAAATATAAGGTGGTTAACACCACTTTCAGTCTTGGAAAACTATTCTAGTAAGTATAAAACTAATTACAGATAGACCTGATGAGTGGACGTTTTATACCTCTGACTCAGTCTACCAGTGAAACCTGATAAGTCTCATTATTGCCAAGTCTATAATATATATAAACAAAAGAAAGGTTTTTTGAGAAAGTGTTCTAGAAAAAGCTGAGGTCAGAGTACTGTTTGCTGTTGAAAGCAGTAACTAATTCAGTCCAAATGCTACTGAAACCTGGGCTGTAACATTTACTTTTATGATCCTAAGTTGCCTTTAAGTATGCCAAGTGACATCCTATAGATGATGTTAATGACATACTTGGATGTAATTGTAAGACAGCCAAATACTCCTCTTATATTTTATATTGAAGAGAAATTTTAGTAATTAATATTACTAAAAAAAAAAAAAGGCCTAAACTTATTTTTAATTTATGATTTAATCACATTCACTACTGAAATAAAGTACTTTTTTTGGTATCAAGTTTTCTGGGAAGAATCACTGTCTCTCAGGATTTAGAAAACAAGGGTTTACAATAATTTCTTAACATGAAGGTGGCAAAACAAAACAGTGATTATATAAGTAACTGAGTCCCTCCATCACAGTCACGGGCCACACCACCTTGCTTAAGCTGAAGAGAAAGTCCAGTGACACTCAGAGCATTATAACCAATAAAACTAAGCAGAGGCCAGAGGATCAGCATAATGCTCCAGCTAAGACAAATGTATTGAACAACACATGGAATACATAGATCTAGAAAGTGGACGTTTGCCACGGGAAGGAAGAACAGCTTTCAAACAAGTATAAAAAAATATATAGTTTAAAACATTGTTGGCACTTAACTCAAACAACAGGCCAAGAAGGAAAGAGGTTGATAGAAACCTGAAGCATTTTTATATAGTAAGTCAATACTCACTCGCACAACAGGACTCCATTTTCTAAAGCTGCTCGAAAGTCTTTGGTTCCAAAGCTTTTCCCAGTAACTGTCTAGAAAAATAAGAATTAGAGTCAATTTGAGGCATGCATACAGATATCAGTACTAGAAAGAAAAACTGAGAAGTAAAAAAACCTTCAGTTCAACATATAGTTCACAGTATGCACTATTTTCTTATTAATTTCAAAATAGAAAGTTTTCTAAAACAGTTGTGCCTCAAAAGAAGTCAGATTTAACATCTTCAAACAGTTTCTACTGATGCAAATCAGCCTTCAGCTAAATTCTGTGGGAATACTTATTTTCTAAAGCAACACTAGCTATACTGGAAAGCATAAAAGAAATCTGAAACAGAAGCATGAAGAAAAAAAGTGTGGAGTCTTTCCTCATTTAAATCTTCTACTTCATTTTACATCTTGAACACTCATGATATCCAGCATGAAATATATTACCTTTTTTTTCCTGCCACTTGCATCTAAGGCAGTGTGATTAAAGAACTTCTCTGGCAAGTCTTTATTACCACATGTATGTAAACACCCATTAACTGGACAACAGTAAGATTATACTAATGGGGCTACTTTTCATATACAACGTGAAAAGCAATGAAAAAGAACAATGTCAAACAAAGGACTTAAGGTACCTGAAGCCAAAACCATTACCTATAAGTTTTCAACAAAGCTGTTTTCCACAAAAGAAATTTGCTCCTGGCATTAATTCACTCCATTTCAAGTGAAGAGTGATACACTGATGATCTTAAATTCATTTGCTTGGATTCTTCTTACTAGATTTCCACCCAGCAAAGGTTCCTTTATCAACACCCACAGTGGTAACCCACACACAAATCAGGAAGGGAGAAAAGTTTCTAGAATAGTTCAAAAAGAGTTTTATTCCAGCTAGGTACAGAAATCAAACAAGGAAAGGCATTTATTTTTGTTAGCTTAGGGGTCTCCAGGTTCAGGCACTAGCTTGTCATAAAATTCCATGCAAGGATCCTGACCATCCCCAGTACTGCACAGGACTTCAGGCACTCAAAAGTGTTGTGGAATCGGTGTGCATTCAGACCAACAGTTACTACTTGCCACAGTAATTAAAGAAATCAGTAGTGAAACAAATGAGCAATGCCTGGTGAAAGAGCAAAGGAGAGAACACAGTGCTTTAAGGACCTGATAAATCATCATCCTGTTATTTTTCCTAAATTGGTAGAGGAACATATACTGCCTAGAACTTAAGCTATGTAAAAAAAAACAAAAAAAACAAAACAACAACAACAACAAAAAAAACTATGGCACTTCCTGAGGTAATTTCTAAGCAAATAAAAAAAGAGGCATGGAGTAATTTTGACTGCCACAAAGCTTTCTATCATAACCCCAGCTAGCTAGAAGCCATCGTTCAACTGCAAGAGAGTCCAGTTTTGGCACAAGATTGCAAATTCTAGTGTTAACTATACAGACTCTTAAAATTACATTAACAGAGGGAGTCATTGCTCTGAAACTTTTGACTAAGTTATTCATGCAGCCATTGAGGAAATCAGTGTTGATTTGGTGTATGGGATGGAGCAGTCAGACTGACATTGCAACTCATGGATTTTGAAGGCTGTGATTTGTTGACATAAAAATAAAAGATATCAAAACTGCCAAGTTAGTTTTCATCAATATTGACTTACAAAGGATAACTAATAATTAAGTAGTTAAAAGGTATTCTCAACAAACAGTTTAATATCGATGGCTTCAAACTGAAATATTTTCCCACTTGCACAACACCTTGAATTTGATGATGCCAGAAACGAAAAAAAAAAAGCAAAAACAAACAAAAAAAAACCAAACAACAAAAAAAACACTGTGCTCCATTTTAAGCCAAGCTGTCACATGGAGACAGAGATATTTTCTCAGAAAAAACTTTTGTCCAGCCTATACTCATTGCAAGGTACCAATCATGGCTGTAACTATTGTAGTCTACATAGCAACAAGGTATCATTAAAAACTGGAAAGCCATGGATTAGCTCAGATTTCCCCAGTTTTTAAGGACATGACTAAGACAAAATAAATCCCACCCTGAGATACTACATCTTCAAACAATGTCTACTATTCGTGAGTCACTGTTTATTCATTAAAACTGGTTATACTGGGTGTGGTACTCTTATGTAATTGTCGGAATTTATTTTGGATAATTTGTCAACCATTTAAGCCATGTGATCCAAACAATGAAAGAATATCTCCCAAAAGTGGTTTTCATCCATTTCTGAACAGTCTCTTAAAATTCTCTCTTCTCCTTCATCTAGCTTCCTTCTATGTTTGTTGGTTTTTGTTTTGTTTTTTGTTTTTGTTTTTTCTCTTAATATAAAGAAGGCAAAGACATAATTAAAGACCAGACCATAAATCACATTTAATTGCTGCTATAAAACAGTTTGATTTCAGTTTTGTAGAAAGGCGTCCCCAAATACTTTGGTAGCTTGCAATTGCCAAATCCATGCAATTTACTTCAAACTGCAAGTAAATTAAATGCTTACACACACATACGTTAGAGGGCTAATTTAACTTCAGGTTTGCAATGATTTCCTTAGGAGGTGGCAATTCAAGAAAACATAACCAAAAGACCAACCACTCACAAGATGGCATGACTGAACAGAAAAATATCTTAATTATATGTCACAGTACCAAAATTAATAATGAGTACATTTCTTTGGCTTGTCCTGCTAGAGGACAAATAAAGCGCGTCATAGATTGTTTTGCCCTAAAAGCCATTAAAAATGTAAAACTCTTTCAGTGTTAATAGAAAACATTGAGTTTGCACCAAATTGCTTCCATGGTTTACACCAATTTGAATGGCATCCCAAGAGAGGCTGCTGCCATACAGGGCTGTAGGTTTCAAATGGGTTGGCTTCACACACACACACCCCCTCACAAAACGCAAAGGACCAAAAGCTTTATTACCTTAATTTTGCTGTGGTGAAAATGCTACAACCAGACTTTTCCCATTCAATAGAAAACAAAACCACCTCACTTAACATACCTGGACACACTGGTTAACTGATCCTCCATCACAAAAATGTTAGCTGCTCAAACCTAAGAGGAAGGCATTTTATCATACCCAAATCATGGCCTGAATGAAGCATTACCACAGAACACCTAAGTATTCACCAGCCATTTGTCTACTCTGAAGCTCACATTTCCTAAGTCTTGCTCTTCTTGGTCTCATTCACAGCTCCTCCAATAAGCCACTTCTAGACCACACAACCTCAAGTTGATTAAGGACCTCACACATTGATTTTAAAGAAATACTAATTACATCAGTGTGAAGTGCTCAACTCCACGATGTAGACCAATAGGTTAGAGACGGAAGATTCAAGATAAGAACAAAACCATATGAGGTAGAAATGGCCTTAATATAGAATTATACAAAGATCTCAGAAAGCAAGCAATTTATCAGACAGTGATATCAAATACACCAAACTGATTTCTGAACTTCATGTCTCAAACTAAGTCTGCAGCAACAAAAGCCAAGCTTAACATTGTGCTGCAGAGAGGATGACTAACATGCTGTAAAGAACCAGGGCAATGATACAAATGTAATGTCATGGCAAAGCCTCTGCTGCAGGATTTCAGTTATGCTGCCAGGTTCCCTGGATTCCACCACACTGCCTGCCTCAGCAGAGCTGGGCCTGTGCCGGTAACTAAGGAAAGGAGAGATCACATCACATATGTGTCAATGTCTGAAATATTACCTTGTTAATGGCCTTTTTTCCCCTCTTTTTTCCCCAAGTACCAAAAAATCTGGATCAGGTTGCCAGGGCACGTGGTTCCATCATTACATGATCTCCACATTATGTATCTCCATTTACAACACTCACTTGGCTCTAACCACCCAAAACATCATTTCCAAACTGTACTCTTACTGTGTACAGTAACATGCACAAGAGTTACGTAGGCTACACCTACAGCCAACAAACAAGATTTCAAGAGACTGTCAATGCTCTTCCTCTCCAAATTTCGTAAGAAGTCTAACATTGCCATGGTTTTCTGCAACAGTTGATTAATTTTCTCAAACCTCTCCCCAAGGGCAGATGATAGGAACAAGATTCAGAGCATTGCTGTACCCAATCTTGAACACACAAGTAGCAAAATGACAGAGGCCACCATTTGGGTAAAAAGAATTTGGCTTTGCAGCAAACAGCTAAACCATAGAGGGTACTAGCTTTCCGAAAGTCAAAATTAGAAAATTTCTGAAGAAAGCAGGACCTGTTTCTCAAAACCCCCTGAATTTAGGGCCCTGAGAAGAGAATCACAGACTCCTGTGGGTTGGTAAGGACCTCTGAAGATCAACTCCAACCCCTATACTAAAGCAGGTTCGCTACAATGTAGGCGTTTATATCATCCAGATATGGTAGAATGCTGCTGACATTACACCCCATGTAGCAGAAGGGATGCCCGATTCAAAGCAGACAAGGTCTAAAAGGAATCCCTATCATCATTTAATTCATGGTCCAACAAACCCTGAGACATGCTCAAGAGCTGGTACCCACAGAGGCTTTCACTGGAAACTGTCCAGCAATTAACTTGAGACACTGCCTACCTTAAAAACTTTATGAGTCAAGAGCAATGTCTGGATTTCTGAGACTAAAGAAGGAAGCTTTTTTTTCCTGTGATTGTGTGAAGCTCTTCCTCTAAAGTCCTCATAACTCACTGCTAAAATCCATGACAAGCATGAGTCCACTGACGAGAACAGACTGAGCAGCTGGGAATAACAGCAAAAATAAAAAGGCTAGAAGAGATGAAGGTTTTTCACTTGATCATTTACACTGTTTCATGTGAACGGTCCTCTGTGTATCCATAACACAGTTTTCCATTTTGAATGATTCCCGTTCTATTGCTCAGTGCAAAGTTGCACCATCCTATTTGAATCTATACCCCAAATCCCTAGACAGTTTCATTTTAGAGGATGTGGAAATTTTTCAGTCTTCAGCCAAAAATGCCTTTGATAACAAATCAGAACAGGCATTTATGAAAGGAAAAGACTGATTATTGAAGACAACTTACAGTAATTTTCTATCATCATCATA